CTAGACTAAAGAAGGGGAATTTACCCTCTCCGCCATGACCTCTGGAATTCGCCGAAACTGGATTCAGACCATCATGAAGCATGTTCGCCCCACCACTGCTCCGGATGTAACGAGGTAAAGACGAGGGAAAAGCTGGAGGCTAGATAGGACTCCCAGTTTAACAGCCCCCACAGTTGTCTGGTTTGCAGTGCAGGAATAACCCTTTCCTTTCTCCCTTTCTTTCCTCTTTCTGAGTCTGCCTGTTCCTGGAAGCTCTGGCTCTTTCTCATATCCCTGTGTCTGGGCTTAATTTGGAAACACGTTGTGGGGTTGCTGATATGTTGAGTTACTCTTTTGTGTTCAGATGTCAAAGAGGGTTGAAAATATGGCTTTAATTTGTGCATAGGAATATGAAATACTGTTCCTTTATCAAGGCTCTTCTGGATTCCCACCAGGTATTGTGAAACCACTTGGATTCAGTTACGCTGGGTTCCCCCTTTCCTCTGGCTACTGTTCAGCAAGAGCTGCCTGTCCCCTGCATGGGTCACATCAGTGCAAGCCCAGGGTTAAATTAGAAGCCGTTTGGCTCTAATGTGTTGTAAACTGCAGCCAGCAAAGAGTCTTCTTCCTCTTTTGATCTTCTGGATAGCTGCAACAGCTCCTTCCCTTATGGTTTAGTAATATTAGCATCTTGTAGTGCCTTCAGTGCCAGAGGAAGGGACCCACCCAATTCATAGAGTACCTTCTGCGAGCGCCTGCGGCTATGGGCAAAGGGTATTTGACCTTCTCACAGCAAGCTGTGTCAGCCACACTTGTATGGGCCGCCTGTTACAACCTTTAATGGACACAGCCGCACGATTAACTCCGTTTCCTGTCCTTACCGTAGCTGCAACAAGCAGATCTTGGCCGGATTTGTCCCAGCATTGATGGAATGGCTCTTTTCACCTAGGGCTGCTTAACTGGAGATGTTCCAATCTCTCCTTCCCTTTCCTGCTTTACACTCGAATGCCGTTTCCCAGCCCTGCCCAAGCTCTCTGGTGGATCTCTCGTGGGTCTCTGGGAAGCCACCTCTTTCCTCACTCCTGTGTATGTTTGATTTCCATGCAATCCCAGGAAAAACTTCTCTTTGAAACTATCCGTGCTGAAGCCCAGGTTGGAAAACTGTGTTCTCTCCTGTATTAACATTTTGTGGTTTGTATATCTTGTGATTCACTGCATGCTCCTCCTTTTCTGCACTTCGGATGGGAAGTCCTGCAGTTTTCATTTTTTTTTCTTTCTTTTCTTTTTTTTTTTTTCCTTTTTCTTTTATTTTAAATAAAAGCCAGAAAGAAGGGAAGAAGCAAGCTGATCTTGGCACTTGATTTCCCCACACTGGTATCTTCCGATGTGAATAGATAAGAAGGTGAAGACCAAGGAAATTTGAGGGGACTTCTTTACAGCCTTTAAAGAGCCATGTATATTTATAGCCTACCAAGTTACTGCACCACAGCAGTGCTGTGCTCACTGGCTTTGCATCTACTGCTAGCCCATGTGAAGTGTTTTGAGCTGACTTAGCCTAGTGAAAGGGTCGAAGTTGCAGGTACCTGTTGGGTAGTAACTTGTTAAGCTGCATAAATAGATCAGGAATCTGAATCCTAAGCTGGGGAAAAGGTAATCATAGATGCACTTCTGTCATTTTAGACCGAGCTGATTTTAGAAGAGACAACTGTAGGCAGGAGTCCCGTGTGGGTTAGTCACGTCACTGAAGAGCTGTCATTATGAACTGGAACGAGTGTCCAGAGACTGAAAACGGGGTTCTGTTCACAAGGTGCCTTTTTACAACCCTTTGCTGCTGTGTGCGTCAGGGCACTGGGTAACCCAAGCCATCCAGCATGTCTTTGGGCACGTCATTAACATCCTCACCCTGGGAAGCAGCTTGTGGATAGGGCTTCTGGAAAGCCAGGGGACGGAAAGCCGAAGGCTTGTGATGGAAAGATGGATTGTCTTTCATCCTGAATGTCCGTACAGTATGTCTCAAGGGTGAGAAGTTAGTGCGAGCTAACCGGGAAGATGAGGACGTGGTGCTGTGCTGGGGCAGGGCGGCGTGCGTGGAGGGCGGCGATGTTGACCCTGTCACCAGAAGCCAGTCTGACACCTCACGCTCACACCGTCCTCCTTAGCGTCTCCTGTTAACCCACTGTGATGTCTCTACCAAGCCAAGCGCACATTTCTATTACTTAAGTCATAATTACTGTTTATACTGTAGCGTGTGTCAACACCCCGGTGGTGGTAGGTGCTGTACTGATTCCTTCCCCGTAAAGTACCATGCAGTCTGCAGAGGCACTAATTACCCTGTGCTAACGATGACCATGCAGATAAAAAGTATCCACAAGAAAGAAGGTGGCTGCTTCAGTACTGGGTGCTTATTTAGCTCTCTGGCCTCGATTAGGCTGAGTGCCCCCGTGCTCCTAGTGGCAATTGCTTGCAGCCTTCATGTGCTTCTTCCGCTCTGCGGCAGGACTCTTGACGCAGTGTGCGCACTACTTGCACAGCCAACCGTACTGAAAAACCTTTGTGCTGCCTGACCTGTAAATATCATTGCAAAGCGAAGACCCCTCACATAATGTGAGTTCATTTGTCTGAACTGCAGGAGATGGGAAATACTTGAGCAGAGTTAAAAGCCGTGGGGCACCTCTGTGAGATGAAGTGAAAAGCTTTGGGTCAGTCTTTTGAGTCTCTTAATTCAGTTCCCAGTGTCCCCCTCTGTTACCTAACTCACACCCCATGCCCTTTGGGAATGTGCAAAAGAGAAATAAGCTAGCAAGAGATGTTACCTCTGGAAATGCTGAGATTCCTCTACGTGGTATTTAGAGCAACATTATTTCTGTCTTCCAACAACATACCAGGGGCCCCAGGACTCCCTTTCTTCCTAACTTCTCCATTTTAAGACTCCATCTCGTCACTGTTTCACTTATTTAAAATGCAGCTGTAATCACTAACTGCCTCCAGATTGAATGCCTGGCCGTAAGTGTGCTTGGGAGTCATGCAATATCTCCCAATGGTTGAGGAGTGAGGAGGTTTCATCGTGTTGCCTTTTGGGTTTATTTTATTAGCTGCAGGTGACAGAGCTGAAGAAGGAGTTATCGCCAAGCTGGTTTTAGCCTGTAACTGCTAGAGTTTCGTGGAACTCAGCTCTGCTGAGTCTGTGGTTTGATCATGGATGAAAGTGCATCGGAAGATACTAGCACTGGAACCATGCAGAGTCATCTGTTCTGCTCCATTCTTTGTTTTGGGCGTATGCACATATATGAAGTCTTTGGCTGGGGGAGTTGGGTTTTGTTATAAATACTGGAGGAGAATCCATTCTGCTGCTGCTCCCTGTAAATAACAGCAGCCTTCGTGCATGTAGTCCTGTGGTTCAGGACCATGTTAATATTGATTTGCCTGCAACAAAAGGCCCATAGAACCGTTTTCTGGCTCTTTTCACTGCGCCCTTCTACAAAGCTTGCGCTGAAGTCTGGAGCCCAGGGGGATGTTGTCGTTTGGAAAGGCAGTAGTGGAAGTGGAGAGAGCCAAGAGTCTACCTGAAAAGCAGGGCTGTGATTGAAGAGGCTTGTGAAAGGAGGCAGCTTTTGGGGGTCTGATAACAGGGGTTTCGGCAAATGCCTTCCTTTCCCTCGGGACAGGATTCCTCTGTGAAGTTCACATATTGCTATTTTCTTTTTTAGTTTTGATCTGCATGTTATAAGGCTGGCATGTCTACATTTAATAAGCTAATACTGCATTATGGATTATCCATAGGTTGGAAACTTCCTTCCCCTGTTAACTTTCCCTGCTTGACGAGTATGTCTTCCCTCTCAACCCACCATGCTCTAACTCAGCACTAAACATCATTCCTTGCTTGAGAAATTGTCATTATCGGTGACTTTTGCAGTATTCTGAATAACTTGCTCTCTTTGCTGCACCAATGACTGCATATATAAGAATATGCAGCCCCTGCCCCTTCCCACTGTGTCTCCCAGTGCCACTGGCAAGGGTGCTTTCCCTCGGGGAGATCTGTGCTTTCAGTACATAGTGGCACGGAGAAGTTTTTGAACCATTAACACCCAGACTTGGCCAAGCTCGAGGAAAAACTTAACCCTGTTACCAAAGACTTCTGAGAACTGCTCTGTGCCTTCCTGTGCTTCCTCCTCCTCCCCGCTGAGCGCTAGCCTGGGCGCTCCTTGCCTTCCGGAAGCCATGGCCCAGCAGCTCTGAAGCCAGACTGACTTTGATGGGACCAGTAGCAACTTCCCAGTGAACACGTGACTATGGCCTTGTCGACTGAAGCGTGTGCGTGGAGCCTAGCAGCTAGAGAGGCAGGTCGGCGGGGTGGGGAACGAGCTCAGAGGTGAACAGCGGAGGAGGTGTCACAGCCTGTTCGCATCCATGATGGAGGTTCTTGCCCGGTGGTGGCTGCTTGGCCTTAGCCCCGTGGGCTGGCACTTGACCTGCAGTTGCTGGCCCTGTGGCAGCAGTGGAGGAGACAGGCTTGGATGAGCAAATTAGGGAGCAATGCTCTCTGGGGGATCCGGGTGGGAGCGTTGGACCGGAGGCGAGGCGCCGGAGCCAGGGAGCTGTGCGGGGCTGCTTGCATCCTGGCTTGTGCACACCCGCTGCGCAGGCGGCACAGAGCGCTTCCCTCCGTAGGGGCGCAGCCTGGCACTGATTTCACGCCCAGGGCAATTGGGAGAAGGAGAGGAACAGCTCCTATACTACGTACAGACCTCACAAGAGGCTTGGTTGGTGATGGGAGATGGATGGGCAGAGAGGCATGTGGCAGTTGCTTGGGCTTCGAGCAGCCCCTTTTCACCTGACTGAAGCAGCAGCTCTTTGAGGCATGCACGGGAGAGCGTGATGGTCGTGAGCACTGCGTGACACTTCCTTTCATCCTCTCTATCCCTATAGCTCCTTGCCGGAAGAGAAAAGCAAAACGAGCTCTTCCTTTGAGACTAGCCCGAAGCCGAGTGAGAAGCCAGACGCAGACCAAGCTGAGATGGATCCGGAGCAGAAGCGGAGCCGTGCCCGGGAGCGCAGGCGAGAAGGACGGTCCAAGACCTTTGACTGGGCTGAATTTCGCCCCATCCAGCAAGCCCTGGCACAGGAGCGAGCAAATGCTTCAGACTCCTCAAAGAGCAGCACTTCCACCTTCCCCAAGGACACCAGCGCTTCAGACACAGACCCAGGAGAGCTGGAGAGGGAGCGTGCCCGCCGGAGGGAGGAGAGGCGCAAGCGCTTTGAGATGATCGATGCTGTTGATGGGGCAGGGCCGGAGGACGCGTTAAGGATGGAGGTGGACAGGATCCCAGGCCTGCCCATCACCGCGGACATCAAACCACAGAACGTTCACGTGGAGATTGAGCAGCGCTGGCACCAGGTGGAGACGACCCCTCTGCGGGAGGAGAAGCAGATCCCCATCGCTCCCCTGCACCTTGCCGCCTCAGAGGACCGGGACGAGGGGCTTGCAAAGCAGCACTTAACTGCGCTGCTGGAGAAGGAGGTAAAATGGGATGTGCTAGCATGCCGTGGCGGCTGAGATGGCCTTCAATTTACTGAGTAACTGTAAGATGTCTGAGCAGAGGCCTAAGAAGCTGCATTTTTTTTATTTTATAATAACAATGAATGTGGATGCTGTCAGGTCTCCTGGGGATCTGGCAGGGAACAGGTCCATGTCCCTGCCATTTCCGATGGATCCAACTGCATCTTTCACATTTCCCCCCATTGCTGAAAGGATGGTTGTTGCAATGGTGGTATTTCACTACCCCTTTCTAACCAATCTAGCCTGTAAAGACCAGAGACTGCTTTTGTTAGCTATTAGCAAGCCTTTCTCTGGTGAGATGAGCACAATTAATGTGTATTAACCAGACTGTAAATTTAAGCTCATAATTCTGTGCGTCGCTGTGTCTGTAGAGATTTGTGTGTTTAAGTATGTCTACAAAACTGCAGACTGGCTTGAGTGTCCCTGTAGCTCATACCACAGAGGTTTCCTTTTCGTGGAACCTACAACAAACAATCTTACGACTTTAGGAGAAGAAGGGAGGAAGCTCAGCTCACTTGGAAGAGGTCTGTGCCTGGGAAAACAAAGATTGTTGTTAGTCAGGATTAAGGTGCATTAGCAGGACTCTAAGGGGTGCAGGCTTGGAGTAACCAGCAGTATGGCCGACATGAACTGGGATGGGATTTGCCTGGTCATGCCTGGCACTAGCTGGTGCCATTTGTCCTTCACTGCAGTGAGCTTTACAAATTAAAATAATGCATAACTTAGTTCTTTCAGGGGAGGGATTTTGCCTGGTAAAATAAGATTCAGATCCCAGAGCAGAGAAAAGCAGTGGTGCAATCAAAAACCCTGTTCATTCTGCCATACGTCCCTTTGAACTGCTTTCTCTTGGTGGCTGTTGTCCTGTCAACTCCCTGGGCTTTGTCTCTTTTCATATTCCACCAGCTGGAGCAGAAGCAGAAGGAGGCCTTGGAGCTCTTGGAGCAGAACCGGCACCTGCAGGACCAGCTGAAAGTGGCACTGGGCCGGGAACAGAGCGCCCGGGAGGGCTACGTGTTGCAGGTAGGAGAGCAAGAAAGAGAGAGAAATCTGTCTTTCTCTGCACCTGAAAGGGAACCTGTTGGGCTTCAGTCCAGGCTGTCCATGAATGCATCCTGGTTAAAGTGGAAATGTGCAAAAAGGAGCGGGTTCCAAGAGATTTGAACCTCCTATAAATATTGGTAATTCTCTAGCCTTATAAGGATCAGCTGTTTAACAAAACCCCTGGTCTGGAATCCAGTAGAGAACTCTCTTATGAGTGGTCACATCTCGTCTGAGACCCAAGATAACATTGCCTACTGGCTTCCTCAAGGGAAAACAAAACACAGCCATAGTAGATAAGACCTCAGCAGAGTGCACTTGACATCAGTGTTGCATCACATATTGTGTTTGCCTGTGCAACGGCTCTGCTTCCCCCTTTCCTTATCCCAGACATTCCCGTCAGGCAGTGGGATGGACAGAAGGCATCCTAAACATCTTGTGGTCCAGCATTTGCTCCTGGCCATGGTGTTCATGTGGCTGTTACAGGGGCAAGCGCAGCACGTTCAGGTGTATATCTCAGACCCTTTCTCTGCAATCAGAGCGTGAACTGTGCTGTGACAGCCTGGCTGTTTTGGCGGAGCACTTTGGTGGTTTATTCTTTTAAAAGGTGCCTCTGCTAAGCAAGGCCTGGAAGCATGGCGATTCTGCCAGACTGGGATTGCCAGTCTGGAGATTCTGGCAAAAGAGGCAGGAGCATCTCTTGGAAAACCTTTCCTCCCCACCTCCAAAAAGTAGATTTTTTGGTAGCACTTCCTCCAATAGCATCTGTGCCCCCAAAGAAGATGGGAAGCCTGTTAGGCTGCTTCTGGCTGCTTTAGCAAGTATATAGTCCCGTTTTGTGCAGCAGTAGTGTTTTAACCTGCTCAAATCTATTTGGTCAAACTGACTGTGGACCAAAGTGGCCTTATGTGGCTGTACTCTGTGCTGCCATGGCAGGGAACCTGGTGTTGATACTGAACCTTGCGTCTGTATTTCTCAAGGGAGAAACTTCCTCTGAAGAAATTGCAAAGGCGGTGGAACTTGCCCAAGCAAGGAGGCCTTCTTTACCAGTAAATCTCCTCGGAAGAGATATCTATTAATGCTTTTATCAGTATATCTGGAGACCCCAAGCTGACGGTGCTTGCTTGGAGGAGTGACATTTTTCACTTTGGTGACTTTGGAAGAGGGAGAAAGTTCTTGGATTCAAAACCAGAAAATGACGTGGATCTAGCAAATAAGTCGGTGCTAGAGAAAGGACCATCCCCCTTTGAATGGCAGCTGCAGTGTCCCTAAGCCTATTAAATGAGACCAGCAAGAGGGGAGGTTTGTCAAAAGGGGAAGGATGAGTTCCTGTAGGACACCTCTCACATGAGGAGAAACCTGGATGGTTCCTCCATCTGTGAGCTACTATCCAGATGTCCACTGGATTTGCCACTTCATAATCTACAGCTGCCGCTTCCCGTTTCTGGGCCGTATTTAATCTTGTATTATGGCAGTAGCCTGCATTGGCCGCAGGCCCTGGCAGTATCCCATGTTTCCACAACAGTGGACTAGCTACCGTGTCCCTAGAGCAAAGGCATCTGACCTTCCTTTGCCTGGAGCCCAGAAACCAGTAGACAGGGATAAAAATTGGATGCTCGATCCACCATCAGATTGGCCATGTTGAAGTTGGCTCTAATGCCTCAACACGAGGGCTAGGGGCAAGAGACAGAGTCCGCAGAAGGGCTGAGCAAACTAATGCGGCCGTAAAAGCTGACCCAAACTTGCAGATAAAAGTTAGACTGGATTTTTGGAGGGTTTTGCTTGCTCCAGTCTAACTGTACTAGGGATTTCCCTTACATTTCCTGAGAGCAGAGGGACCAAGCCCCACTGAGGTAATGCGAGTGAAGCAGGTTATCGCTTGGATTTCCCTGCAGACCCTGACTGCAGGGAACCGTCATGGTGTGTGTTTGGATTGACCCTCTGAATTTGTTGTGCCCGCCGTCAAGCCTAAATTTGAGAGGTGCCTTTAATAGTCTGTGGAAAAGGGTGGTGGAGAACATCCAGTCGAGGCGTCTGGCTGCTGCCGGCCCTTGCCCTTCTGCAGTGCACCGGGGCACCCACCCCGCTGACCGATGACGCTGTGCTGAACGTGGGGGTCCAAACCTAGGCAGCATGACTGACCCATACGGAAGTTCCCCAGGCCTTGGTCCTGCTGGGTTTACCCCAACGCAAAAGATGCTGCACATTTCTTAACGAAGATGCTGAGAGATAACCAGGACCGATGCATGTGCCTTGCACTGAAGCCCTCTCTGGCCTCGTGTAACCCTTCTTCTCTCTCCTGCTGTTGAGTTTAATCGTGATGGAGCCAACCCAAAGCTTTGAACACTAACAGGGGAGAAAGCACGGGGGCTCACGCTCCTCTCTTAAGTATACCCGTGATGTCTTCCAGCTCTGGCCATGGCGGGTGGGAGGGGTCACTTACTAACCTGTCCCGGGGGATATTCTTGCATGTTTTTGGTGTTAAGCATGAAATTTAACTTAACATAACTGAGTGTCACATCTGTGGGCTTTCCTTATCAGCAACCAGAGTACAGCAAGGCAGGCCAAATTCCTAGGCTTAACGCTGTGCTTCTCTTGCCTCTTCCTGTCTGTGTATTTTTTTAAGATACATAATTTCTGTCGCCTTTTGCATGACTCTCTGTGAGTTTTCTCTTTGCATGCTACACTGCTTTGGTTTGAGTTTCACAAAGGTTGGTTTCTTTCATTCTACATTCTCATCATACCTTTCTCCGCCCTTCACTTGTCGGGCTTTTTATTTTGTCCTTTTTTTACAGGTAGACAAATTAGATCCTTCCTAGTCTTAAACTTTAGCCTAACAACATCTCTTTAATATGATGAGCAGCCAGTACATCCTGTTTAGCAGTCACAGAAATGACATTGCCGCGACGGCTGTCCTATCTCCCTGCGTTTTGGTGGGATGTGATGTCATTTACTTTCACCTCACTTTTCTGTTGTTGCTTTTGTTTGATAGGACTGTGTTACCCGAACTGTGCACTTTTTGTTTCACAACAAAACAAGCAAAGACACTAAAACAAGAAGTTCCTTTCTTCTCAGCCTGTTCCCGTCCTCCTCCTCGTTCTCACTCCCTTCCAGTTTTTCTCTTGTCTTTCTGTCTCTGTTTTACTGCTGGTGTTTCTTTTTCATTGTTTTTTGGTTCTGTTTGGTTTTGATTTTTTCCTTGTAGCCTGTTACTGTAGAGCTGTTTTGATGTTATGGTCCGTGTTTTCTGTTACTGGAAAGCAGTTGTCACGCATTTAAAAAATAAAAGTTGGTTAAAACAAAAAAAAAATGTGCCAAGAACAAATCTTCCCAATTGGAGCATGTGGGTAGCAGTCAAAACAATGCAAGGAGCCTTTCCGTGGCCTGCCTGGCCAGAGGTGTGACACTCAGAAGGGAGAGCCAAGAGTGTTACTAATCTAGTATTTAATCAATTTTTTTAAGACCGAGGTGGCCGCCTCGCCATCAGGTGCCTGGCAGAGGCTCCACAAAGTCAATCAAGATCTCCAAAGCGAGCTGGAAGCCCAATGCCAGCGTCAAGAGCTAATCAATCAGCAGATTCAGTCGCTAAAACGTAGCTATGCCGAGGCTAAGGATGTGATCCGGCACCACGAAGCCGAGATTCAGAGCCTGCAGGCAAGGCTCAGTAACGCAGCGGCCGAGCTGTCCATTAAAGAGCAGACACTGGCCAAGTTGAGGAGCGACCTGAAGAGTGAAAAAGAGAAGGCCAAGGAGCAGCTGGAAGAGTGGCAGCATGGCGAGGCCACTTTGAGCTCGCAGCTAAAAGCCAGCGAGCAGAAGCTGAAGACCGCAGAGGCCCTGCTCCTAGAGAAGACGCAGGAGCTGCGGGACCTCGAAATGCAGCAGGCTTTGCAGAGGGACCATCAGAAAGAGGTGCAGCGGCTCCAAGATAGGATTGCAGACCTGAGCAGGCAGTTGAATGCTAGTGAACAAGGCCGGATCCTAATGGAAGAGAAGTTGCAGAAGAATTATGAGGCTTTGCTGGAAAGCTGTGAGAAGGAAAAGCAGGTTTTAATACGGAGTCTGAAGGAAGTGGAGGATAAGGCCAATGAGTATGAGAATCAGCTACAAAATAATGAGCAGCAAATGGAGATTCTGCAGAAGGAGAAGCTGAGTGCAAAATTTGAAGGCAGTGAGATTGTCCACCAGCTGGAGGAGCAACTGGTGATGAAGGAGGCCAGTATCCAGAAACTCGCAGAGCACATCAAGGAGCTTGAAAGGGAGAGAGATCAGATTAAATGTAGGTTCCATGAGCTCATGAACCAGGTTGCGGAGTCGGATAATGAAGTTGCAAAGCTGCAAGCAAAACTGAAAATGGAAGAGACCAACTACCACAATCTGGAGCAATCATTTGAGGAAGTATCGGATCAGTTCCAGAGCGTGCAGAAGGTGCTGAAAGAAAAAGAAGAAGAGCTGAGACATGTTAAGGAAATGCACTTGAGAATTGTGGAGAAGAAAGATCAAGACCTCAGTGAGGCTTTGGTTAAAATGGTTGCTTTAGATAGCAGTTTAGAGGAGACTAAAATAAAGCTAAAGGCCAAAGAGGAGGCTTTAAAGAAGTTAGCTAGTGTAGGCACAGCTCCATGCGCTGAGGAGGTGGAAGACCTTAGTCCTCATCTCGAGGCTGATGAAAGTCATCCTTCTCAACTAGGGCAGCATCTGCAAACTCATGATGTCCTTCCAGCTCTGAATTATGCACTGAAGGAGGAGGAAGATGAAGTTCTTGAGACCAGCCAGAGGCAGGCGGAAGAATTCGGCTCGCCATCCAAAGCTGCAGAGCTCCAGGACCAGGAGTTGGTTCAGAAAGCCTTAGCAAAGCCTGATATAGGAATCCTGGGTGCCAAGAGGCAAAGAATCCGTTTCTCAAGCATCCAGTGCCAAAAATATATACATCCAGATGGATCAGAGAAGAACTGGACAAGTAGCACCTCTTCAGACACGAGCCAAGACAGATCATTGTCTGAAGAAAGCATGTCATCAGAGCCAGCTCTTGGTTACCCATCCTCAGGGACAAGCGACTCTGAGACCTATCTCTCAATCATCCATTCTCTGGAAACCAAACTTTATATTACAGAGGAAAAGCTCAAAGATGTAACAATGAAGCTTGAAAGCCAGCATGGTCATAATCAGGAAACGCTGATAGCCCTTCACCATCAGTGGGCCAGCACAGAGTCTCAGCTTCGGGAACAGCTTCAAACCAGCTTATCCCAAGTCAGTGCTCTGATCTCACAGCTGGAAAATGAGAGGCAGGAAAAGTTCAAGCTAATAGAAAATCACGTTAGCGAGCTGGGAGGTTTCCAAATAAAAAATGATCAAGCACTGACTTGCTTAGAGAAGTGCAGGGAGCAGCTAAGATCTCTACCCAAATCAGACAAGGAAAAAGAGAGTGATTTGATTCTTGTAACTCTGTCCAGCATGGAAACAACCTTATCAAATGCAATTCAAGCCTTGAGAGGGGCACCAGTCTCATCTGAATATCAGCAGAGTGAAAGCCTTACTGTACAAACCCCAGCCTCAGAAGGAAATTTTTTGAAAGAAGAAAAACATGCCTCCAAGGAGCAGCAAGTGGAAATGTTCGATGCAGGCCAGCTAAGATGGCTTTCTGAGAGAGTGGCGTTTGAAGCCTCTCTAATCAACCAAATAGCAGAGTCTTTGAAAAATGCGAGCTCTGAGATATCTCAGATTCTCAGAGAGATCCGAGGAACAGCTGAGGTGGTTTTGTTAGAGCCAGCAAGTGTTTCTCATACAGCAATTGATTTGGCCAACATCCTATCTAAGAAGCTGCTGCTGGAAGGGGAATTTTGGAGCCAGGTGGAGGAACTAAGAATGCACTTGAGCATCAGAGAAGGAGAAGCAGAGGGCAAAAAGGAAACGGCGGGTTTGGGCTTTTCGGCATGTTTTCTCAGCACAGTGGCAGATGCTACATTGATCAAGGCAGAACTTGGGTTTGTCGCACAGAAAATGAGAGAGTCTTTTCATCAGAGATTAAAAACAATTGAAGAAGACCTTCATAATACCAAAACAGCTCTCCAGCAACATAAATGCATGTTGGAGGAAATCATCAAAGCATACAGGACTCCTGATTTTGACAGAGTTATGCATCAGATTTCTGAAGCACTTGAAATTCAAAAAGATGCCTCAGAAAGAACCCAAATCTCCTGGGATGGGAGCCATCTACAAATGATGCCCTATCAAGAATTAGCCAAGATGGAGGAGACTTGCAGTTTGCCAGACCACAGTAGTGAAACTCTTGTTTCCATTCAGGAAGATCTTGCCCAACAACTAAAGGACAAATCAAACGTTCTTAAGGAAATATCTGTTGCCTTACTATCTCTGCCTCCTGAGGAAGCAATGAGAGATTGCCAGAAGCTCCTAAAGATATCTCAGAGCCTTTCATATCATTCATGCATGGGAGACCTTGAAAGGTATTCATCTTTGTTAGTTCAAGATGCAATTGTTCAGGCTCAGGTTTGTTATGCAGCTTGCAGGGTCAGACTAGAGTACGAGAGAGAGCTGAAGTCTTACAAAGAATCCTTGCAGAGCATGGATGCGCTCTGCCAAGAACGTGTAAAGACGGTTTCTCTCCTTCGGGACGAGTACGAAGATTTACTTAGAAAGCAGCAGGGAGAATACAGTGAAGTGATAGCCGTGCTTGAACGGGAGAACGCTGATCTCAAAGCAAAGGTATCCCAGCTTGACAATCAGCGAAGACTGTTGGAGGAGGAAGAGCATAAACACAGCAAAAGCATCAGTGAATTACAAGGCAGATACGAAGAGGAGATTCGAAATGTGATAGAGCAACTAAATAGGACAGAGGACGCTCTAAAGGCTGAGAGAACAGAGGGCCTAAACCAACTTGATGCCATTGTCCGTGATAAGCAAAACATGGAGCGGTATCACCTTGAGCAGATGCAAATGTTGGAGGATAAGTTCCAGGCCAAGATAAAGGAATTGCAAGTCATCCACAGCGAGGAACTGCAGACGCTGCAAGAGCATTACAACCAGAACCTGCAGCGCCTGCAGGAGACCCTCGATGAGTATCAGAAGCAGCACCCTGAAGCTATGCCCTTGGAGGGGCCGGGCGATGGGAGCGCACAGGCGGCCGATGGGCCTGATGGCAGGGTGCAGGTATCTGAGAGCGAGCTGGACTCCATGCATGGCCTGAGAGAGCGCATCCAGGAGCTGGAGGCTCAGATGAATGTCATGAGAGATGAGTTGGAGAACAAGCACCTGGAGGGAAACGCTTCAACTTTGAGGGAAAAATACCAGAAAGACTTTGAAAACTTGAAGGTTTTAATACTTTTAATGCATTACGCTTTCTGCCATTGAGTATACTGGGAGGGTGCAGTCAGTTGTGCTTGCAGAACCTAGGGGCATCCCCTGTGAGAGCCAGCACACATAAGCAAGCCCAAAAATGTTAAAAAGGCCTTTGTAAGGCATGTTATTTTTTTTCATGCTTCCTCTTTTCTGTGCTGGGGTATTCTAAATGCATTGCTGAGGGCCTTGTCTCCGTGGGAGAGAGTTAATTATTGGAAGTGGTCTCTGTGGCAGATTCTGCTGGTTGTGTGGAGGGAGGGAGGGTTTTGAAATACCTCAGTAATGACATACTCTCCTTAAGCATGAGCGTTGTAGTGTTTCTTCTCATACTTGAGACATACGTTTTGTTTGTGACTTCCCTTTAAAAGCATTCCTGAACTCTGTCTTTCCCAATCTGATCAAATCTCCAGTCTGTCTCTGCTGCCCTCAAAACTGTAAGATGAAATGGAAACTTGTGCTCTCAAAATATATTTTCCTGGGGAAAGTAGCTATAAAAGGATGTCAAATTCTATAGCAAAACAAATATCCTAAGTGGCTGAGAGGGAAATCACATCGGCATTATGCACCAGCAATTCTTTACATAACAAACAGTGCACAGTTACTAGAAGCCCAAACTAGGCGCAGAAAAACCTAATGACAGTGAAATAATGCATTTGTTCAAATTGCTTCACCAGTCAGGATTGGCGGTAAAACTAGCCTTAGATGTCACAACTTCTAAAATTCTGCTGGGTTTGGTGTTTGGCTTTTGATCTGAGACCATTTCCAATTAGGAGCTGGTTTTAGGATGGTAGACAGCTTCCAGGAGCACTCAAGAAGGCTTCCGGATTGAACAGGAGGAGAAGGAGGGGCACCCACGAGATCAGCTGATTCAGATTGCAGGCAAAGACGAAGGCTGTGTTGGCGATGCTTTCAAGGAGCAGTCATTCTTCCAAGTCAGCGAAAACATGTTCACGTGATGGGAGAACTTGCTTCCAGCAGCAAGATCCTGAGAGCACATTTGGACTGGGAATAAAGCATGGCTCAGCTGTAGCCAAATAGTGTTTTTACTCTGGGAAGAGCAGTAGTGCTGCCACATCCCTTGTCCTTCTCTTGGGGGGTGAATCAGGTGTTCACAAGAAAGCTGCTGGGTAGGCCAGGATGAAGTTGTGGTGTTTACTTGATGCTCTCTGCTCCATCCTGTCATATCCCTTAGGAAGGAAAAGCCCTTCTTGAACCTCCCACTCACTGTCAGTTGTGCGTGTGGAAAGTAATCGCTTCCTGAGAGCCGTGCACAATGTAGGCTTGCTTATAGCGAGGAACGGTCTTGCTTGGGGAGAAGCAAAAGGGCCAGAACCAAAATACAGGCAATTGCTCAAAAACAATAGCAAGCAATGAACCTGACCGCCCTCCTGTATTTTCAAATTTGTTCCCTGGTGAAGACTGCCAAAAATTGCAGTTTGCCTGGTGGGAAAACAAGCAACCTCTTCTGGGCAGAGCAGGAGTGGAGGAGCACGTGTCGGTCCTGGCCTGCCTGTGCACCACTGTATGAAGCAGAGGGGCAGAAAGGAAAATACAAACTTCTCTTGGTTAGAAAGCCAGCCAGGCACTTTTAAGCCTCTCTTATTTACAGGTTAAAATGCTTGTTTCTTCTCTTCTGAACCTGATGGAGAATGCAGTATCAATAATACTAGATACTGGTTTGTGCGTGTTTGAATACTCTGATTTATAGCAATGCATTTACAATACATTAAATATTGGATCTACCAACCAGAACTATCAAGGAGCGTTTAAGATTTTCCTCCAATATTAGATGTATAAACAAGAATCCTGCCAGGCTGCTTCATTCCACTCTTTAGTCAGCCAAGTCCAGACAAGTTCTGGCACTGAATTACGAGTTTCAAAAAATAAGTCTGAGAAAATGAAAAATGCCTCAGGATCCAAACTTAAAGGGGAGGAAAAAAGTACCAAAGATGAGAATTGGGAACCAGAATGACACAGGTTACATTGCATTAGGCAAAGAACTGGTAACTCTGAAGAGTGTTAGTTAATATAGGTTGGCGGGTGTTAGACAGTCACAAGCTCTCATGTTGCTAGGGGAGTGAATTTTTCCTCCTCAAATTTTACTTGGAGTCCCAGTGACTCCCTAGGTGACAGTCCTTGCTTCCCTTTGAAGACACTAGTGTGAATCAAGAAGAAATCCATTGAAATCAGGGGAGTTGAGTAATGCCAGGCTCAGACATTAAGAGGGAGAAAAGTCCAACCCCGTGACTTGCTGCAGGTTTGCCCCCAGCCGTCCGGCCACGCAGCAGCGCTCGCTCGGGCACCTGCATACGACTCACCGGCCGGCACGGTGTGAGCGGCCACACCGCATCTCAAGTCCCATTTGCACCCTTTCCCGTTCGTGTCCAGGTGCCAGGCTGGGCGAGCTGCAACTCCCGCTTGTTTGCTTTCCTGCCTCGTCTCTGCAGCCTTGTTTCCGCATGCCATGCCGGAAGAGCTTGGCGGGCCAGCCGGGCTGGCGTCTGAAATGGAAACAGGCTTGCCCCAGCGGGAGCGCCAAATATGTGGCTTCTCCTTGTAAAGCTGATGGCTTAATATGAGGAGTATCATGCAGCTGGATGCCTCCTTCAGAAGTGAAAGAAAAGCCTAAGTGGGGCCAAATCCCCTCCTGGGTCCGACACCTGCCCTGGGGGAGCTCAGGGGGCTGCACGGGTGGCTGGAGACCTGGCGACGGGGATCACGGGTTCCTGCTGCCATCCTGCAGTTGTGTACGGAAAAGGGCTTGCATTTGGAGCCTTGCGTTTGGACCGCAGCAGAGGCAGAAGCAGCAGCCTGGGATCGAAGATTTTGCCCCTTGGGGCTCTTAAATCCCCAGAGCACTGTTCCTAGTAGAGTCACCCTATGTCCTGGCTTAAATTCACTTCTAGTAACAAAATCAGCAGATAATTTCCTGTACAGCTTTCAAGGTGACACTCAGTTGTGAATTAAGACAGTGTTGCTGTCGCGAGCCATCTGTGTGCCACCCCAGAGGTGGTTGCGTCTGGAAAGCAGGGGTTGCAGACGAGAGCTGAGAGGGCACACCAGTCGAGTCGTTTTTAAAGAGCTAGTGATCTAATGAAAGCCCGGCATACCCAGGACATGGCTCCCAGGGGGGGGCTCTCCACTGTGGTGACACTCGGCGCCCCGGTCCTGGGCCAACCTCATCTCCTTGTCCCTTTTGCAGGCAACATGTGAAAGGGGCTTTGCAGCCATGGAGGAGACGCACCAGAAGAAGATAGAGGACCTGCAGCAGCAGCACCAGCTGGAGCTGGAGAAGCTGCGGGAGGAGAAAGACCGCCTGCTGGCAGAAGAAACCGCTGCCACCATTTCAGGTATGGGGACGCACCAGAGGGTACCTCGTAGGGTAGGTCCGAGTTGACGGCGGCACGGGAGTGGTTTCCGCTCTGATTTGGAGGAGCAGGTCACGAGGTGAGATGAGGAGGATGGGATCACGGGACAGGCACTTTGGATGGAGGGCCATCTCCTGGCTCTCCTGAGAGCCGGGTAAGCCTCTCCGTGGCTGTAACATGGTCTGATCAGTTTTCTGCTCCATCTAAGAAAGGCGTTAGTCATTCCTGTGGTTAATTTATTGCTGATTCCACAATGAATTCATTCTTCAGTGCCACTGGCAGTTTTAAAGTACTGGAGCCCAGGGTCTCTGTGTTAGGAGGCCCATAATTCAGGAAACAACATGTGAATCGGACAATTGTTTGGACTTTATTAAAAAGCAGGATTTGCAGAAGCCCTTTGGCCGCTTTACGGCTAGCGGTGCATAATGAAGTGATTGTGAAACAGTGGGATGGTTCGCTGGGATGACTCACTTTTTTGTTCCCTTAAAAACAAAAAAAAAAAATCCCCATCTCCAAAAAAATAAGTCCTTTGGGCCGAGCGGTGACTGTGTCACCTCCTCCTGGAGTTCTAATCCTCTTGCGCCCCACGCAGCCATCGAGGCCATGAAGAACGCCCACCGGGAGGAGCTGGAGCGAGAGCTGGAGAAGTCCCAGCGCTCCCAGATCAGCAGCGTCAATGCCGATATCGAGGCCCTCCAAAGGCAATACCTGTAAGATGATCTGTCACTGTCTGTTTGTCTCTGTTCCTCGCAGGGAGGTGACGCTTGCGGGAGACCCCTTTCTCTCCATTGTGGGCAATGGGTTAGAATCAGATCCAGCATCCCGTAGGGGATCTCTTCCCTCTGTCCTGGCCTGGCCGTGCCCATCGCAGGCCAGTCAGACTCCACATAAGTGTCCCTGGACCACTGAAATTCTGCTGCTTTCCTGTCACCAGACGTAGCAGATGTGCAGAGACGTTGCTGCTTTCCACGCAGCTGCAGCACGAGGATTGCTGAAGCAAATCTCACCAGACCAGGCAAAAGCACTTTGTGTTTAGTGGCAAGGCTGTCCTCTTATGGGAGCTGAAAAAAACAGCCAAGCAGCTTTACAAACCTTAATGCATCTATATAAGGCAAGTGTGGGTGTACAGATACACCCTTTTGTGGCGGCTCAGAGCAAATGTGATAGATTTCAGCTCTGTTTTTGGCTATTTGAAGAAAGGCTTCCTGCTTCCTTTGGTGCCCAGTCACTTGAGTGCCAGGAGAGGGAAGGGTTAGCTGACTCTGGGCTCAAGGTTTTTCCAAAAGGGCATATGCGATTCCTTTGCCCTCCTGGGTGCTTTGCGACTTGCGTCTCTTGGAAGAGCCCTGCCGGGTTGCTCGGGACGCTGCAGGGTGCTGCAGAGACAAGGCTGCGTGTACGGTGAGGGCAGAGCACTGGCTGCTGGGTTTTTTGCCAGGGAGGAGCTGCAGTCGGTGCAGCGGGAGCTGGAAGTCCTTTCGGAGCAGTATTCCCAGAAGTGTTTGGAGAACGCCCACCTGGCGCAGGCGCTGGAGGCTGAGAGGCAGGCCCTGGGGCAGTGCCAGCGGGAGAACCAGGAGCTCAACGCCCACAACCAGGTGAGGCACCCGTTCCTGTGTCCTCATGGCACTGTCTCGCAAGGAGGGAGGGTTTGCAAAGCCAACGGGATAAAAGGTCCCCTTGCAGCTCTGGGCACCCCAGAAAGCTGGAGAGAAGCTGCTGGATTAGGCCAGGGAGATGCTGACTCGCTTGAGCCGCTGCCACGTTCGCTCTGTCCCCACCATGGCTCTCTCCTCTTCCCAGGAGCTGAATAACCGCCTGGCTGCGGAGATCACGCGACTGCGGACGTTACTGACCGGGGAGGGTGGGGGAGAGGCTGCTGGATCGCCTCTCACGCAGGGCAAGGATGCCTACGAGTTAGAGGTAAGTTTTCTGCCCCCCTCATAGCTGCAGGCAGCTGCTGGCTCTGCTGGGCTGCAGGGGCTGTGTTTGAGCGTGCAAGGAGGCTGCGGGCCCTTCGGGAGCACGCCGAGGTGATCCGCTGCACGGTGTGTCCATGGGGCAGGCGAGGTCTGTGCCATCTGCGCCGTGTGTCGAGGGGGTGCAACAGAGCCGGAGCTCTTGAGCCCTGATCCGCCCCTTTTCAGCACTTCAAGCCAGAAAGCCACTGTCCCCTTCCTCATCTCCTGCTTGTCCCGTGGGGTCCAATGCATACGAAGCCGTGGGGACTGAGAGGCAGTGAGGGATGTGCAGGAAGCACAGCAGTGATCTAAGCACGGGCAAGCGTTCCTTGCTGTCGCCACTGGATCCCGGAGTAATTTTCTTGTGTAAACTAAAAGAGGTGTGAATGAGCCACTTTGCAAGCGTGGGCATGGAGCCGACCGGGGCCTGAACCTGCAGCCCTTGCTCAGCTGTTGCCAGGCCCAGCTGGCTCTGTGTGCGCTCAGGTGGAAAGTGTTGCTGCTGTTGTTCCTACAGGTCCTACTGCGGGTCAAAGAATCAGAAATCCAGTACCTGAAGCAGGAGATCAGCTCTCTCAAAGACGAGTTGCAGACAGCACTGAGGGTAATGTCCAGGACAGGCCTATTTCTATAAAGGCCCGTAAGGGCTGTGCTCTCCTCCTGTGCGTGCGCTCTTGGAATTCAGCTCGCTTATCCCAAGATTTGAAACAACATTAAATTTTTCCCCTTAACTGAACTCAGTACCCGTTTTGGTGTCATTGATAAAGCATTCCACTACTGAATCAGTCCAGGATTTACCCCTTCCCCCTTCGTGTGGGAAAACATCACCTTCACTGTTTTTTCCTGGTTTCCTATCACATCAGATCAGATTTGAAATGGCAAAAATATTCGGTGTCACAGATCTGCCCAGCCTCCCAACATCAGATCTGGTTTGCTCTGGACAGCCTGTTTGCCAAGGCCAGTTCTGGGAATTCTAGTTCTATTCAACGTCTTTACTAAAATTAAAACCCACAAAGCAAGTAATCTTGTAACAAATGGGTCAGCATGAATGGGCAGCATTGCATGCTAGTCAGAGAAATCAGAGCTTTCTGCATAACTTAAGTCAGTCCTGTGTTGCTGTTAGATGCGGCTTCAAAAGCATGTGTAAAATATGTGGGTTGCCCCCAGCTGAGCATTCAGCAGGGCAACTGGAATTTATCCCTCTCATCAGCAGCCAGCTCCCGTAACTGTAAAGTGCGGAGTAGGGAGGAAAAAAAAGTGCTAGGTGAGCAGGGCATTGCTCCAATGCGCTGCCCTTCTTCCGGCAGCTTTTGTCAAGCTTCTCTTCAGCACGTTCATAAACCCCTTGGCTCCAATTGTCTGTCTTACTCTGCCGGGTTGTTCTTGTTCCTTTGCCAGGATAAGAAATACGCCAGTGACAAGTACAAAGACATCTACACAGAGCTGAGCATTGTGAAGGCCAAGGCAGACTGTGATATCAGCAGGTTGAAAGAGCAGCTGAAAGCAGCCACAGAAGCTCAGGGAGAGAAATCCCCTGTGAACACCACTGTATCGGGATATGGTCAGTCCTCCTCCAGCTGCTCTAAGCAATCTCGGCTTTCTGATCTTAACCACGTGCATCTTGGAGTACAAGCTCTTGTGCGCTAGCGGGTCCAAAATGTAGGACTTTGTATGGTGCTTTTTTGCCATTTCATGCTGCTTCCTGCCTCTGCTCCTTGCAGACCATCTCACCAGAGATGGCAAGCAGCAAATGGACCCGAACTGCCCTCCCCATGGCAGTTCCTCCTTCCAACTGGAGGATGGGAAGCTTGTAGTCTTTGGTAGCCTTCTGTCATTTTGCATCATGAAAGCCTCATGCTGCGTTTAGTACGAGGGAGCGGAGGCCCTGGAGAGTCTCCTCGGTCCTTATGGCAGTGCTGCTTGAGTCAGGTTCACTGGGGGCATTTGCCCAGGCTGGGAAGGCACATAAGCCCCCCAGCTTTGCTCCGTCCAGGAAGCCTATGGCACCAGGCTAATGCTGTTTCTTTTGCTTCTCCCCAGATATTATGAAATCAAAAAGCAATCCTGATTTCTTGAAGAAAGACAGATCCAGTGTTAGCCGACAACTAAGGAATATCAGGTCAAAGGTGAGTTCAGATCTTTCCCCGTATGCTGCAAGTGCCCAACGTCACTCTCCAGTGGGGGTTGCTGGGGAAACCATAGAGCAGATTGGAAGAACTTGGTGGGGGGAAGAAAACAGAATTTCTCACTCGGTAATGCTAGCGTGAATGGCACTTGAGAGAAAACCTAGCTTTCAAGCGAGAAATGGCTTGCTGTGCAACCAGCAAGGCCCCCATCCCCGTGATGTCTTGTAGGACATGCGTTGCTGCATCTGCTGAAATTTAGGTGTGAGGCTGCTCCCCCCTTGAAAAAAGTATGATGCTCACCCTAGTTTTTGGTCTTTCACAGGAGGATTCTTGCAGTATTTGCTCCCCATTTTTAGTTGAAATTTAGGTGGTATCAAAAGGTGGAAATGTGCACATCATTCTAGATTTTACAGTGTTCAGCACTGCCAGCTTTTTGGTCTTTACATGGAGCAAAAGTGCCTTGGTGCTGAGCATATTTAACGCACGCTTTTCCTGTGTGTTAACATGGTGCAGATGGCCCTGTGGTTCTCCAGCCATTCTGTACTTGCTGTTGGTCCCAAGTCCAATAACGCTGTGCCAAGCTCGTCTGTGCTTGGGCTGCTGACTGCCAGAATTTCATCGTGTTATGCACTCATTGTTTCCGTGGGACCACAGGAAAAGGAAGGGCAAATAAGGCTGCTCAGAAGGCGTCATTAAACATAGGTCAGTCAGAAAGGAGATCAGCATGGGCAAAACTTGCTTTGCCTCTCGCCACTGGATACTGGCTGTCTCATGCTGGTGTTTGAAGTGGTTGGGATTCAGGCAGGGTGAGAAGCCCGGCAGGTGAAGGCTTCTCACGCTGTGCCCACGCTGGGGAAACGATCGTCACCCGAGCTCTGCAAGCGTTAGTTCGTCAGCCTGAGGTGTGCAGGCTGCACCAAGTAAATACAGAGAGCATCTCTGCTTATTTAAGGGTGCAGCACAGGCCTGGCTTTGCAGACTTGCTGTGCCAGATCTGATGTTTGGTTTCCCTTCACCACTTCAACTTAGTCCTCATGGTCCCCTGTTCCATGTGTGTAGGGGAAGGAGAAGAGAGCAAGCATGTGCTCTGCCGCGGGGCACGCTGGCTGCTCTGTCGCTGCCGTGGGGAGGGGGAGGCTGGGGCAGGGCTGCACGAGCACCAATGCATTTAGGATTTATGAGCTTCTTGTTTTGTTTTGTTTTGTTTTTCTTTTTTTTGCTCTTTCCTTCAACAGTCTGTTATTGAGCAGGTCTCATGGGATAACTGAAATGAACCCGAGTCCAGGTTCCCTGCCACGTAGGTAAACAAACCGGCACCTGCCAAATGACACAGCTGCCCACTGGAGCAGCCCACTTTTGCATGCACTGCTCACACCTCCATGGCAAATGAGAGCCCTTCTTCTCTTAATGACTGACTGGTTTATTTACTGTCAGTGATTTTACTGGGGGAGGGGGAGTGGGAGAGGAGAAGAGAACGGACCCGAGATCTGTTTAAAATGCAGTCTTTCTGGCTCTTCCCTGGGAATTATATGGTTTTCTCATCTTCCCCCTCCTCCCACCCTCACCAACACAGCTAACTGTCACGGAGAGGATTTGGACACGGTGGGGCACGTTTTCCTGTTTGCTGTGTTGGGAGCGCGGGACGCTGAGTGTGCATGCTTGAATGACTGTGCATGCCTCAGACTAAACTTTAGCAACATGCAGGCCATGCAGGAAAAACAGTCTGTTTGTTGTTAGCCAGACAGAGGATCAGATCGGTGATGCCTATGAGCATTTCATCCTCAGAGTAGGGCAGAGGGCACATTAGATGAGGCCAGTAGCAACCGCATCACATACATGTTTCCCACGAAAGCCTATAGCTTGTACGGTAACACCCAGGTCTCAGCAGCAGAGAGTCTTCCTTGCAGAGTAACCTCTTCCTTCTGCTCTCCAGGCTTTCCCCAGCTCCCTGGCGTTCACCCCACTGCTCTTCATCACTTGGCACTGCACCTCCGTCTCTCATGTTGGCTGGAGGCTTCGGAGCTCATCCAGCAGGAGGAGGGAGCTGATGAGAAAAGGGGCTCATTCTCATGTATCTTGAGTAACCAGATACTATAGTAAATTTTATTGGCCCATGGTCAAGACTGAAGTGAGAGCACCTGCAGAGGGAGGGGAAAGAAAAGAGAGGCGAGATCCCCAGAACGGTGATAGAGAGTTAGCCTGAGAGCTGCAGGAAGTCTGATGGAGGATCACTTTTAGTCACAGATTTCACCCTACGTTAGTCTGCCTTCATCAGGTCCCCTTCATCAGCAACTCAAAAGATTGAGAAACTCCCTAAGGGGTGATTTTGCTGGAATTTTTACTACTAGGCAGAACAGTCTAATGCTTTATGTCGTCTTGTTCCATATAATAGGAACTCTCATGTTCAGACTGGAACGCATGGGTTGCTGCTAATGTAAATAGGCCCAAAGTTAACTTCCTTTAGGAAATATATACTCAGATACTTGGATCCCCAGAGTTTCTCTGCTGTCAGCCGAAAAGAAAAAATGTATCATTTGTAAATTAAAACCAATCCATTTTAGTGCTTTCATTCCCATGCTGTTTCCCAAAGCCGTTCTGGATTTCTAGACCTGTGGGAGAAGAAACATTTTAACCAGCTCAGGATTGTGGGAACCTGCACAGCCTCATGGCAAGTTTATGCACACCGAGTCTTGCCTTGACAACCACACATTAAGCAAAACCTGGCCCAAGAGTCTAAACTGCTTCTGTGATCATACAGTCCTCTGACACCACAGTCAAGGAAGTAAAAGCAAAAGGGGACATTGCTATCAATTAATAGAAGGGGTTTTGTGTGCAGGTCTGTGCCTCTTGAAGCAGCCATACGTTGGTCTGTAAAGCAAATGCCGTTTGAGTTGCAGAGCAAATTAAGGAATCGGCTTGCATGCAGCAGAATTATCTGTGAGATAATTTGGCCCTTTTGGCACTTTGCTGGCTGCCTGTCTCTGTCTCAGAGCAGATGCATCCCAGCAGTGAAAGCTTTTACGGTGCATAAGTGGGCGACTTTGCCTGCTGTGCAGGCCTAGCTGCTGGGGAGGGAGATGTCTGCACCTTCTGCAGCAGCAGCAGCGAGCAGGGAACATGCACTCTCTGGTGCCCTGATCCCCTGCAGCTCTTAGGCCACATTTTTTTGGGGCTGCAGGAAGGAGAGATGGCTGGCTTTGGTCTTATGTGTCTCCTTGGGTTAGTTTCAGGTTAAAGCTGTCTTATAGCAGGCAAGCTATTTGCTTCTGTGTTTCTGCCACTCACATAGCTGTTTTCCCAGATCCTTAGCTGTAGGTGACAGTAGTTTTCACCGATGCAAATGCCAAGGGCTAGCAGGATGGAATTTTCTGTTTCATAGCTGGCTGTCATGCCTTGAAATGTGGATGCAGAGTCTGAATTGGGTCAGACAGCAGATCCTGCTAGAACCTGGAGCAAGCATTCAGTTGAGAGTCCGCTGTCTAACCCTGTGCAACCAGCAGCTTTGGCTTGGGAAAGACCCCAGGCTGGGGTTAGAGAAAGGGTGGGATTGTCACTGGCAATAAAATGCAGTTTTCAGGGCTGTTTTGGACAAAGCGTGAACATTGACTGGAGTCAGGACCACCCAACACGTACATGCATTCGATCAACAATACAATTGTGCCGGCAGATGGGGAGGACCAGTGTGCAAGTCCTTCTTTGCGGTTGCAGTAATTTATCTTAGCAGAACCAAGCTGGACTGCCTGATAGCCCTGAAATCCTAGAGCTCTGCTGAAATTGCCCCAGCCGTAATGACACTGCGGGCTCCAGGGATCATTTCCCAAGGCGAGCTAATCATGCTTTCACTATTGTGTGCCTCTCATTTGTTTCCAATTCGTCACCTGGTTAATCTGCAATCTCACCCTCTCTCTAGGCGTGATTTCACCAATAACAGCATTCCATAACTGTGTGTTTTCTCTAGCATGTCCCACTAATCTCTCCGTCGCGGAGGCCATTCTCCTGCTGCCCACGTTTCCTTTGCCTGAGCATCGCACCATTTCTTTGTGCCAGATCCCTGCTGCCGTGGCCCTGTCCGCTCCCGCCTGCAGTGTCCGATGCTGTCTTTCTTTTTTCTCTCCCAGAGTCTGAAGGAAGGCCTGACTGTGCAAGAACGCCTGAAGCTTTTTGAATCCAGGGACTTGAAGAAAGACTAGTTCTCCCCGCTCCGCTTGAACACGCGCACCTCCCAGCTTGAGGCAGCACAGCACCAGCACCGTTTGTCTCTCGTTCCTTACGATTGTCCTTGCTGTTGTTCGTCTTGACGCTCCTGACGAGACTGAGCTCTGCGGTGGCGGTCCCCTGCCGCCACCTCTCACCTCCGCAGCTCCTTTCCCTGCTTTGTGAGATGCTTCAGAGACTGAGAGGGAGAGGAAGGGAGGGGTTTTTTTTTTTTTTTTCTTCCCTCTTCAGTGCTTGTAGGAGAATCCTTCCTTTACTGTAAACCATTACACTAAGTGTCAGTATTAAGGCTCAGTAGCCTATTAATAAGCTAGCTCTGTCGTACCAACTGTTTGGTATAAAAGCAGGGCCTGGGTGGTATAGGCCGTACCTAGCTCTTACTGCTGTCAAGAGACCCAGTGCTCAGAGCACACCAGGAGCCTAATCTAACCGTTGATCTTTACTGCATTACTTGCACCTACAAGGGGGGAAAGCCTGTGGGAAAGTGTCAGGGAGCGTAAGTCAGTACCTGTGTAAGCAGCCAGGAGGTACAACACATCTCGCTGGAAAAGGATGGAAGAAATGACTCGCCTGCCCCGTGACTGTGCCGTATCCTGAATGTAGGTGTTACTGAAGCCCGGTGCGCTTAGGTGTCTTTCCAGATGGTTATGGTTAGGGAGTTACAGCTACTCATGTAAAACGTAAGGTCTGCCCCCTTGGCCATGTCTTTGTCTCCCTTCTCGCTGGTACCCGGGCCTGAGATACGTATTTCTGGGACTGAGTCGTAAGGTCACTTTCTTGCCTCTGTTTGATCAAACCCAGCAAACTCTTTTTGGCTGTTACTCCCCTCCTCTCATTGAGTCCTGTGTATCCTAGGATCTGTGCGCATGTGAAACTCCCTTTTCCTAGTCAAAGAAGGAAAGTAGAGTAGAAAGTAGAACCAAAACTGACTGAAAATGCACAGTGCTCGATGCATATAATGCTCCTTTTTTATCAGCTTTCTTGAATTCAACTCTTCTTGTCAGCAGGGCAGCTCCTATTTTAATTCTTTAATCTTTTCCTGAAATAAAAATCTCAAAACCTGTATGTGCTTCAGACCTTCTCAGTCATAACAGTTTTCATATTTAAAACATACAACTTAGCAATGTGAGGCCAATAAACTGATACCCATTAAAAGTGAATTGAGAGAACTGGTAGCAATAGATGCAGCACACAGGCAGCCTAATACAGGCTATCTTGCTAGAGGATCTGCAGACTCTGCAGCAGCAGGCCTGCAAGGGCACTGTGGCTTAATCCCAGGTTAACAAGAGCATTTCAATATGCTTTACACCTATAAAGCGCCCAGGTCCTGCCTCACTGATCAAAGAGAAACGCGTACCTCGCCGCTGAACGCAAATGCTGCTCACTCTGGCCAGAAGCAGTGTTGAAATACTGCTCCAACGCATTAGGTTTCCAACCTAATTTAGCCACCAAGTGACCCACAACACATCAGACTCTGCTTCTAAAAATATGCCCTAGCCTTTGTGTGGAGCTAAGCTTCCTCTTGTCTCTCAGGTGCTCAAAACGTAGTTTAAGCAGGCAGTGGCATTTGGACAGATCTGTGCATTTTCATGGCTAATTTGGGGTCCCTAAGTAGGCATGGTGCTTTGAGCAGCGGCTGAAAGTTACAGGAGTGCTGCAGAGCAGTACTTGGGAGAAGTTCTCACTACCAGCTCTGGAACTGGTAGCAGCCGAGGGCTTGGAGACAGGCGCTTTCTCCATGCCCAGCTAGGCTACGACGGGTGCTGAATAGTTTTCCTTTATCCAGTAGTTTTCCTCCGATCCATGCTGAGGCCAGCAGCTGCCTTATCCTTCCCCCCCGTCCCGCATGGAGGAACGTAGCCTGCTGGTATGTGGTCAGCAGACAGAAGCTGTTTGTCCCCAGCTTCGCACCTGCACAACAGGCTTCCAAGTAAGCAATCCTCAAAGTGGAACCTGTCAAATTAGATCTAACCTGGGGCTGTGGAAATCACTGTTCTCACCATGCTGATCTTTTATCTGATGGCCTTTTAAAGCATTGACTGTTACTCATATATAATCGTGGTAATGCTTAGTAATAGCTTTCTGCAGCCACAGCATGGGGTCCTGTTTCCCTTACAGCTGAGGTGGACTAGATGAACTCTTCCTGCTTTTATCCTTCCCGCTTTCTCAGCCATCTCCAATTTGTGTTTTGTGCTTAAGAGGCTACTTCTGGAAGAAGCTGAAGCTCTGTCTCTACTTGTGTGCATGGTTTCTCTCCCTTTGGGCATCTTGGGCCTTTACTGACTAAGTGAGAGGGCTGATTCTCCTGCATAACTTCATGGTTGAGCCAAGGATGTGTGTTTGGGTCCCAGTTCCAGCAGCAGCTGGGAACATGACACTTCAGTGGGATCTACTACGAGGTAAAGACAACGGTGTCTTTGAATTAAACCAAGGACATTAGCATCTGCCAAGCAGCACAGATTGCAGGACCAGCAGAGATGTCAGTGCTGTGACCCAGGCTTTTAAATTCTGACTATTGCTTGGGTGGAAGGGTGAATGAACCCACTGTGGTTCATCTACTGTATATGCCTTTCTGCACGTGACAGGAGGTCGTCATGTGTCCCATATGCCTAGTGTGCTTCCTTCCAAACTTATCTACGCAGCTCTCAGCAGAGATGATAGTTTTTTTTTTTGATATTTCCTCCTTTGCTGATCCAGATTTGACTATGATGTGCAGAGCAGACTCTCTGCTAGCTTTCATGCCCTGCTTCACCTGGCAGAGGCCTTGGGCCACAGAGTTATGATGGGGATTAGGGCTCAAGTATTGTCATTTCTCTTCCCAAGACTGTGCTGGATCCAACGAATGAGCGTCCAAATAGGGTCTTCCTCCTCCTTCTGATCTGTCAAGTAGGGTGGGACTTGGGCCTCTTAAGGCAGCTGAGCAGAATGTGTTCTGGGCTCCTTCTCACCAGGTGGCCTCTGACCTTTCTTACATCCCTTAGGAAAAAAAAAAAAAAATCTTGATTTTTCTTTGCTTACCTCATTTGCTCAGGAGCACTTACTTTAAGCGTGAGGACTAAATGTTGCCATTCATTTGTAGTTGCATGCTGGTAGTATGGAGGAGCCAGGCTGAGACCTTTTCTAGTACAGGTTCATGCCACCGAGCCTCTTGAGCCTCCAAGGAGAGATTGATTTTTTTTTAATTATTATTATTTTTTATGCTTTATACTCTACCATACCAAGAAGTCCTCTCTTGCACCTTGCTTTCTTTGCCATTTGATCCTCCTGTTCTTATTTCCTAATGTAGGAATATGGGGCTTGACAAGTGGAGGCCACATCTGGTATGGCTACACAGATGTGGAAACAGGCTGATGGGCCATGAGGGTGACCCAGAGCTTGGCACGTTGCAGGTGGCCAAAGTAGAGCTGCCGGGAGCTTTGAGCCACGTGGACTGGATTGCTTGTTCCAGAAGAGGTGACGAGGGAAAACTGACGTCCAAGTGGACGTCATCTTCCTCATCTTCTGTCTTGCCATATGTAAACACATTAATACAAAAAAATAAATATGGGTGAGCATGGGCAAAAAGACACTGCAGTGTATTAGCAAAGTAGAAGCACTTAGATGTTAGTGCAAGAAGGCAGAAGAAGGTGCAATTACAATGCAATGGATAGCAAGCTGTTGAAGCATGTTGGTACTGAAGCAATGGATGTTCCATGGTGTGGGTTAGAAAGGCTTTCTGCTTGTGCTCTGGCTCAAAAGTGCCCTGTGAAGTGAGGCTATGAGGGTTTATTCTTGTTTATACACATAGAAAACCATACTAAGGTTTAAAAAAAAACACAATTCCAAGAACGCTTGCAAAGAAGAGACCACTTGCATAGACTTTTCTCTTTTCCTGTATATGCACACATATGCTTAGCAAAAGGTCATATACACGTTCTGGGCCACTTGGGTCAATTCTTCACTTGAGGAAATGCCCACAATATTTTGACTCTTTCAGATGAGACACTGACCGGAGATACGGCATAAGCAAGGCTGACGCTGGAATTTTTTTAATTTCCTTTTTCTTCCATCCTAGTTTGTGTTTATCTCCTTATCATACAGAAAAATGTCAGTCCTCTCATAACCTCCAGCTTAATGGGCTCTCTGAATCATCTGTAAAAGAATTTGACTTGAAGTTTGCTAGGACTCCTGTATGAGTCAGGAGACTCAGACCCTGTGGACTCAGCTAGTCAAAGTTTTGCCATTAGGGAACATTTAATTCATGTAGATTGGCCAACTTCTCTGGACTTCAAACTGCTGATAAAAGCTAAGCAGACAGACAAGTTCACCGAGGAAAAAAAAAAAAAAACTGGCACCAACAACAGCTATAGCCAAAACAAAATGTGTTAAAAGGAATGAGGACAGTTGCAGCGAACACACACAGAGAGTATGGAGGACCGGGTGGGACCAGCCTCTGGCGACTATTGTCATGGTTTTAGCAATGTCTAACAAGCCAAATCAATTAATTTTATTGCTTAACTTTGCTGTTTTAAAATACTTATCACTAAGCAAAGGGGTCTTTTATGAACATGGTGGTGGGCTTGTATACTGTCCCTGTTAAGAGCAGCTATCCTCAACAGGGAGTTAGGCTTCTTTTTAAAAGAAAGTAAACAGAAAACCCAGCCCTGCTGTACAGGAGGCAAGGCCCCGCTCGGTGTCTTCAGCCGCTACGTCACGCTTCGGAGCAGCACTCCTCCAGATGTGTACAACTGTGTACTGCAGTAGCTATCAGTTCTGGAGGGCACAGAAAAGACGTTTGAGGAGGCAAGATGTTGTGGCATGAGCATGACTCTGTTCTGGACTACTGCAGGCTGGATTCCAGGTTTCATGCCTCGCTCCGCTCGCAATGTGGCAACTCGCAGAGCATTTCTCCAAAGCATAAGGCAGTACTTTACTGCCTTTGCATTAAAGAAGGATAGAGAACCAGCAGCGCCAATAACAGAGCCGGAACCTGAAATATTTCTACAAAGAGCAGTGCTTTTTTTTAAAAAAAAAAAAAAAATTGGGAAACTTTTTTGCTGATAGCAATGTTCTTTAGTTATTCTATTTCTATTTCTTCCTGCTCCAGGCCTCATCATTTTTCTAAGATAAGAGAAATCAGTGGCTCTTTACATTAGAAAGTGTGTGGAGAATGGGGAAAGCTATGGGGAGGAAGGAGGGGAGAGAGGGAGATCGAGCTCCCCATGTGCGCTAGAGGCTTTTAAATTCCAGCTACAGCTCCCACTGCACGTTTCTGTGACACAGCAGAGCACGCTGCAGGTTGCTTCTCCTTTTGATGTGGGCCAGGTGCCTGCTGTACAAAATGGGACAAGTCCTTCTAGCAGGTATTCTGCTTCCAATGCTCTTAAAAGGCACAGTATATACACATTGGGTAATGTAAAATGCAAGCAGCTGCATTTTACACAGGGCTACACTATTAATAGTACTGACATGCAAGATTTAGGAAAACTCAAGTGCAACAAAGCTGCAGGCATACACGCCTCCTAATTGCTTCTGAATATTTCTTTTCTTTTGCATAAAATTTTCCCACTGTTTGCACCCTCTCTCCCTGAAACAGACCAAGTCCTTTCTAAATGTGACCTTTTCTTTGCTCACCTATAAAAGAAGCTGTTTTTTTTATTCATTTGCTTCAAAACTAAACTTGTGTGCTGATTTGCAAACCAGAAAAAGGCTATTTTTTCCTTCTGTAATAGAAGTTGACTGGAATGCTTTTAAGCCGTGCCCCCCCCCCTCCCCCCAGCATTGTAAAATGTGTCACTTTTGTAACAACTATATACTTGATTGGATCCCACTAGCCCTTTGCATTTTTTTGTGGTTCATATGCAGTACTTAGTTTGTTGTGAACACTTAAGCACATGCACGCTCACTGTAGCTTGCCTTTCCTCTGTAATTTTTTTCCATTTTTTTTTAAAAAAGCTTTGTTATTCTTCTCTTTTAAAAAAAATAATTTAAAACCTGTATAGTATTCAAAGCACGCAATGTAAATATTTATTACTCAGAAATTAGTGGAGGGTTCTCTTTTGTGACTAAGTTGTGTTTTTGATTTTTAAATCTTGTTCTAATACAGATGTCCCATTTGGGGACTGGAAGAGGAACGCTGAGTGTAATATGTTCAACACACCCCATCTTCCCTGATAGAATGTGTGTTTGTTTTTGATGACTGTTATAAATATCTTTTCAAACATTTTCTGCTGACCTATACCTTTAGTTTTGAAAATACCTGTCCAAAGAATGTGTACAGTCTGTTTGAGAACTGTAACCCTACTGCGCTATAAACTTTTTTTTCATTCTGAGAACGCAGTAATCTTGCATTTGATGGTGGCATTAACACCGTGAGTGTGCAAACTGTTATACCTATGTAGAGAAGTAGTAACTACTTTGTGCTAGAGCATATAAACTATCCTTGCACAGTAACTTAGAGGACTGTTGCAGTCAGTGAAGTAAGGTCCCCAGATCTCAGAACCTAGTGTGTAATGGTTTAACTCACTTGTGCATCAGCATCGAGGATACTCTGTAAGGCTACTTGGACTTTACAAGGGAACTACAGACCTAGCTCCCAGCCGTGCAGATACATATTGTACTACAGCATGGAAGTTTACTGTAACTTACAGTATGTAACTGTTTAAATATAACTTTCAATACAATGTAGTTACTACTGAGTTGAACTTTTGTGATCCTACCGCTGTAATAGAAACCCTTTCTTACAAGAGGATGCAAAAGTACTGTTGCATGACCAGGGAACAGGCAGGCTGAAAACAACGTAGCTGTGTCAGCGCTAGTGGTTTGCCTTGCCTCAGCCTGCACTTTGAGACTACTAAAAGAAACCAAGGGTGTGGGATTTACTAGCAGAAACCTGATTAGCCAGTCAAGTTGGTATCAACTGAACTAATCCAGCTGGCCATGAACTAGTAAATAATTAGTGCAATTACAAACAACTATTTTCTCATTCTTCCTGCTTTCTTCACACGATGATTGTGTGCTGGATGCGACAAGAACACTGACTCTTTGTTCTAAACTAGAGAGAGCAAAGTATGTTGTAAGACACTAAAGACTATGGTAAGTAGGAAATAGATAAGGATGCTTAGTCTTTGACCTGTATTCACCCTCCCGGGACCTGGAGTTCTGGGATGTCTTGAGATTTTAAAGAATCATTTTTTTGAAGGGATAAAGTTTTGGGGAGAGAGAAGGAAACTTTGTATGTCTTTGGGTGATAACTGAAGTCGCACTGGACATCCAGGTACTAATAGTCAGTCTTCCTCCACCAACCTAATGAGAACTGAAGGCCTGTTCTGTTCGGTGCTCGCTTTTCACCAGTGACCGAACCATATCTGAAGGAGATTCGTTCTGGATTAAAACGTGCTCACCCCATGCTCTATCGCTTGTATTACAAGAGCCTCTGCCCTCTTCTGCTCCTTATGGAAATAAGGAAAAGGAATCTTGAGTAATGAGAATGCAAAAGCAGGAGTCAACTACAAGGGTAAATTTTCCAGGTCCTGTGGTGATGCAGTAGAGGCATGCCCTCCACCTCTAATCTGCAATTTGACTGAGTGGCAGTAATGACAACAGATAAAGCACAGAAGTCTCTGTGCAGTTGTGCATTGCTACAGCTACACTGCTGTTGGAAAAACTTGTGGATCAAACTCAGAAACAATTGCAGCAAGGTAGCGAGGAGAAAGAGAAACCACGGTTGTTCTGAAAACTAATCAACACGTAGGTCTGAATGGCATGTCTTTAAAGGGAGGTTTCCACAAAACCAGATTCATCCAGGAAATGATGTACCAAACTTGATTCATTTCCCTCTGCAGAGGAGACTGTGTGTGTCTGAGGCTCCTGTTTCTAAGTATGTGTGGGATCTTTTCTCCTTCTCCTCTCCCTTCCACTCCATTTTATTTCAGTGCTTTTTTAAGAGCCACTGTTCCTGATCAACTGTTCACTGTAATAGAAACGTCACGTTTTGTCACAATATTTATTCCTTGCAAAATCTTGTGTGACATGCTAGGTTCCCGTGGATGTAGCTGATCATTTTTATTTTGTAAATATAATTACCTAACTTTACATAAACTATATCGTAATAAACTATTTTTGCACCACCCTTTGCATGCTGTGTAGTGAGGCGTTTGTTTTGACAAGGACATTACTACAGAAAGAAAGGAGTAGAGGACAGAGCCTGAAACGGAGTTAGCTGTTTGCTTCTACAATCGTATCTAATAAAGAAAATGCAATAAGTAGCACATCTCACCTCCCTTTGAAGAGCAGTAAAATAGTTAAAATAGTGTAAAGCTAATGCTGCTGTAGTGGATGTAACAGGGAATGAACTTTCTCAGCTTCTCCCATTGTTGCTACGTACAGATAAGAGCAACGGGCATTTTTCCCCCCAGAGCAATGCCACCCTTCTCTAACAGAACAGAGCAAATCGATAATCTGTTGCAGTTACTCTCTGCATCCTAAATAACACCTAAGCATAAGGATCTATTGGAAGTTTTAATGACTTGAATCTTTGAAACTACCAATCTACAAGGACTGTCTGAAGTACAGAAAACATAAGATGCTATTGAGCTTTCCTGCGAGAATGACACGTTTAATAGGGCTAATCACAGCACTACAGTATAAAGTAATTGTGGTACGAGAACGTTGAGACTTTTTAGACAGATTTTGAGCACTTAAAGTAACCTTACATTCAGTATAAAGTAATTCTTACACAGACACTTGAATATTTAGGAGTTTCAAAATTCTCATCAAATTTACACCAATCTTTGTTCTACCTTAAACTGTAAAGACAGAGATTATTCAACCCCAAAGAAATTATTTCTGTAATGTATTTAGAATGGCAAGATTTGTACAAAGTAGTTATATGTTTTACTAGAGCAACTAATACAGACTGGAAAAAAAAAGAAACGCTCCAAATTTGGACGGCCAAATTTGTCCATGGCTTTCCAATTGTATTAGCAGTCTAACAAAATATATTACAAATTCCTTCTCGCATGACCTTAAAACATCACAGCCAATACAACATTCCTACATCAGCTTTCTCTCATACGTAGTTAAAAACATATTTAATGTTATGCTCCCTCTGCTGGCAAAGATACAGTCACATGTTCCCAAAAAGCAGACCTTGGTTAATTACCAGTACGGTAACAACAAAGCTCTTAAATGCACCGTAAATTGAAGTTTACGTAAGTGTACAACAATGAATTAATCTGACTAAAAATAATCTTATTAACTTTATTCTATTTAAAGACAAAAGAGTAAGTGAAAAGATGGTGAACCCTAAAGGAAAATATACAACCCCAAAAGAAAATATACTTACTTGGGCAAATGCACCCCCTAACTGTTGCAGAAGATGTCTTTTGGACAGGAACACAGCAGTCCCAGCACTCCTGAACCATCACTGCTATCCACTGCATCCAGAGGGATGATCTTGCCTTCTTCACTTGTCATCTGTCCCCCATCCTCCTGCCACCTTCAAGCGTTCCTGAGGTCACTGAATCAGATCAGGAAACTGTATCCTGTTACTTACGCGGATCAGGCTTTCCTTTCACAGCGCCGCTCTGAAAATCAGCAACCTAACTACAGCCTTATTTGCTTTTAGGCCAAGACTGACTGTTCCTGCAGAACAGTTTATCTCATTGCTTTCCAGAAACTTCCCTACGCTTGCTGACTGGCGGACGAGCTGGTGTTAGTATCCGTTCTGTCACTTTTACACTGCGACTTTACTAATCTTTCTAAATGAAAGAAAAAACAAACCTTCTATAGTAATCAACATTCAATGTGTATTTTTAATTTGTCTTAGTATTTTTCACACAATCCCATTTACAAACTTTCAACAATTAATGCTAACAGAAAAGGTAATAAAGTTGCTTAATCCCTCTATAGGAACTCTAGCTTTGTTCATGGCCTTCTTAACTCTTCTTTTAGGGTTAGTGATGCAGAAGAGTCATTGTTGTAAAATTCCGCTCTGCAATATCACAAGCTGATAAACGTCTGTTTCACTGTTGAAATACCAAGCACCATGCAAACACTACCTTGTTTTCTCCCAGGCACAGCACTGAGACCACTTCAATTTCTGAACTCTACCGATGCAGTTCTATCATAGCTATCCTCACAAAACAGCTTGGCAAACAGTTGGGCGATTCCCTTTCATTTAGCGTGCAACGGCTCTGTGACACCTTAGGGTAGAAAGCACACCGCTTCTGCAGAGGAGCTAAATTACAGCCAAAGAGATCGTATATTGATGTCTATATGTAATAATAAAATCCATGAATGCCATTTGTAAGTACTCCTCCAACTCTGGGAAGCAGCTTAATCACTTATTTTCTTTGGAAAAAAATGTATAATTGATGGGATTGTATTCTTCCCAAATCCTTTCAAACTCAGCCAGAAAAGGCTTCACATACTCTTCATCCTCCACAATCAGTACGTTCTCCCGGTTGTTCTGGATAGCTTGAGTGGTCCAGTTGAGGGAGCCTGTGATGAGCATCTTCTTGTCCACAATAGCAAATTTGTGATGCATGAAACCAGTCTCCTGGTCATGACGTACCGGGATCCCTACAAAGATATAAAAACCTTTTCAACGTCTCCTTTTCAGAGGCACAACCCAACGCTGCAACAACCCTCCCGCTCCTTTAACTCTCCTAAAAGGGCAACTTCATGTCTTCGAAAGGCGTACCAACAACGTGCCGGCAACTGAAGCCAAAGGCGTCAGTCCCACAGCCAGTTGTAACCGCGAGCAGCCACCCAGCGCCCAAAGGGCTGTGCCGAGCCCCACGGTGACCCTCCTGTCGGGCAACGCGCCACGCTGCCAGCTCC